ATCCTGGCTAATAAGTACCGATGGAACAAACCTTCATGAATTGATCTAGTTCTTTTTTGAACCCTGTCAAAGTCCTGGTCTTCATGACATCCTCTGGCAAGGAGTTCCACATGTCCAGAATCATTAAGAAAGGGATAGAAAATAGACAGAGAATATCTTATTGCCTCTATAAATCCGTGGTACGCCCACATCTTGAATACTGCAAGCAGATATGGTCACCTCATCTCAAAAATGTATATTGGCATTGGTGAAAATTCAGAATAGGGCAACAAAATTATTAAGGATGTGGAATAGCTATCGTATGAGGAGAGACTAAGAAGACTTGGACTTTTCAGCTAGGAAGAGATGACTAAGGATGGGGGGAGGGGTATGACTGAGGTCTATAAAATCATGGCTGGTGTAGAAAACATGAATAAAGCAGAGTTATTTACTCCTACCTATAACACAAGAAGGATCCGATTTTTACAAAGTGTTTTACACTTTGTCCCCCACCAAAGTTCCTTAAGCAAAGCCAGATGCCAGAGGCCAAGGAGGAAGGATCTCATAGATTGGGAACCGGTTAAAAGACAAAACAAAGAGTCAGAAAAAATAGTCAGGTTTTGGAAAGGAGGGTAAATAGTGGTGCGCTGGGAACAGGGCTTTATACAGTATCGGGAGAAAGGTGATCATAATGTGATGAAATCTGCAGATGATAAAAAACTGCTCAGGATACTTAACCCGAAGCCGAAAGCAAAGTGCTACAAAGGGATTTCGCAAAACTAGGTGACTACACAGCAAAGTGTCCAATGAATTCCGATGCTCATGAGTGTGAAATAATGCACTTTCAAAATCATAATCCCAGATATACAGACAAGTGTTGGGGCTTAAAGTAGTTCTCACCACTCAAAAAGAGAGATCTGGGAGTCATTGTGGGTAGTTCTCATTGTGGGTGACTGCAGCAGCATTCAAAGAGAATACTGGGAATCATTAAGAAAAGGCTAAAGAATATTATTGCCTCTATACTATCAGTGCTATGGCCACTTCTCGAATATTACATGCAGATGGGGTTGCCTCATCTCAAAAGTGATGTCTTTGTAATTGGAAAATGTCCTAAGCTTCCATATGAGGCGAGATTAAAAACACTGAGACTTTCCAGCATTGTTAACTTGCGGAACTCCTTCCAAGAGGAAGTTGTTTTTTTCAGAAAGCCTGTTTTACAAAATTCATGCTACTGACAAGCATGAACTACATTCCTGCATTTTTAAAACTAATTTCATTTCAGATTTCCCAGTGGTTCATAAACAAATTAAATCTTTTTTTATATATTTAATAATTTATACATGGATTAGAACTGTTCTCTATTTGCCCTTTACTTTTTTTTGGTTGGTTTTACCTGTGAAACTCTCCATTTGCATATGGTTCAAAATCATATGAATGGCCAGTTTGTTACTCTTGTGTTCACAAATTTATGGTCCAGTTGTAGATGCTGTTTACCATCCTCATTCACTGCTAAGGGATTGGAACTCACTTCCTTGCCTTAAGTAAGGCAGTGCTTTCCAATGCAGAACAATAATATTTCTTGAACATATCTACTTTCTCTGCAATCTTACCTTGTTTCTCTCCCCACCCCCCTTCCAGGAATTTACCTGAAGTTTTTCAAGGATTACTACAGTCAATAATATAGTTTATAAATTCCTTTTTTAATCCTTAGCCCTTCAAAGGATGGATTTTCCCCTAATGGCTTCAGTGTCCCTTGTAGATTTATAACTCGCAATTTCTGTTATTTGCTCTCTATTTTCCCTTCTCCCATCTGTTTTATACAGCCTTTCCCCCGGTAATAGCTGCCTTCATTTTGCCATTCAAATGGACATTTAGCCAAATTCATCCATGGTTTTGACTGTGGAATCATGATTTTCATTATCTAATAATCTCTCCATTAGAAACTGCGATATTTCATTCACAATTTTCTCTCTACATTTTCTTCCCAATACACTACGCAGATCAACACTGCCCCTCGATCTTCCGGAGTTCAATCTAGCAGGTGTATTATAGACCCATAAAATTAAATAAATTGGGCGCCCCCATTGGCGCCGGTACTCCTGGTCCTCACAAGGAGCAAGGGAAGCCTCCCGCTGTGTGGACGGCATGGAAATGCGATGTGAGATATATCGACCCCCGCTATGTAATTTACCCAACTGTAGTTGCAAATCATAGAATACTAGGACTGGAAGGCTGTCTACACACTGGCCCCTTCTTTGGAATAGCCATAGTAATTTAGAACTTTGGAATAGGGATTTAAATACCCCCCGCGGGATTTAAATAAACATGGCCGCTGCTTTTTTTCCGGCTAGGGGAAAAGCTGGAAAAAAGCGTCCAGACTGGCGCGATCCTCTGGAATAAAGCCCTATTCCGGAGGATCTCTTATTCCTACTTGCAAGGATCTCTTATTCCTACTTATTCCCCTGGGGATTTCCCTATTCCAAAGTTCTAAATTAGCATGGCTATTCCGAAGAAGGGGCCAGTGTAGACACAGCCAAAGGGACCTTTAGAGGTCATCGAGTCCAGTCCCCTGCCCTCATGGCAGGACCAAATACTGTCTAGACCATCCCGGATAGACATTTATCTAACCTGTTCTTCAATATCTCCAGAGACGGGGATTCCACGACCTCCCTGGGCAATTTATTCCAGTGTTTGATCACCCTGACAGGTAGGAACTTTTTCCTAATGTCCAACCTAAACCTCCCTTGCTGCAATTTTTCTCCCTCCTCCTTGTGACACCCTTTTAGATATTTGAAAACCGCTATCATGTCCCCCCTTAATCTTCTCTTTTCCAAACTAAACAAGCCCAGTTCTTTCCATCTTCCTTCACAGCTCATGTTCTCTAGGCCTTTAATTATTCTTGTTGCTCTTCTCTGGACTTTCTCCAAATCTTTCTTGAAATGTGGTGCCCAGAACTGGACACAACCCTCCAACTGAGGCCTAACTAGTGCAGAGTAGAGCAGAAGAATGACTTCTTGTGTCTTGCTCACAACACACCTGTTAATGCATCCCAGAATCATGTTTGCTTTTTTTGCTACAGCGTCACACTGTTGGCTTATATTTAGTTGTGACCCCTAGATGGGTAGCAGGTTTAAAACTAATAAAAGAAAGTTCTTCTTCACACAGCGTGTAGTCAACCTGTGGAACTCCTTGCCAGAGGAGGCTGTGAAGGCTAGGAGAGGAAGAGAGGTTAAAGAGAAGCTAGATAATTTCATGGAGGTTAGGTCCATAAAAGGCTATTAGCCAGGGGATAAAATGGTGTCCCTGGCCTCTGTTTGTTAGAGGCTGGAGAGGGATGGCAGGAGACAAATTGCTTGATCGTGTCTTCGGTCAACCCTCTCTGGGGCACCTGGTGCTGGCCACTTGTCGGTAGACAGCATACTGGGCTATAAGGACCTTTGGTCTGACCCAGTACGGCCGTTCTTATGTTCTTATGTTCTAGATCCCTTTCTGCAGGACTCCTTTCTAGACAGTCACTGCCCATTCTGTGTGTGTGAAATGGATTGTTCCTTCCTTAGTGGAGCACTTTGCATTTGTCCTTATTAAACTTCATCCTGTTCCCTCAGATGATTTCTCCAATTTGTCCAGATCATTTTAAATTATCACCCTCTCCTCCAAAGCACTTGCAACCCCTCCCAGCTTGGTATCATCTGCAAATGTAACAAGCGTCCTCTCTATGCCGATATCTAAATCGTTGATGAAGGTATTGAACAGAACCTGTCTCAAAACAAACCCCTGCAGAACCCCACTTGTTATACCTGTCCAGCAGGATTGTGAACCATTAAAAATCTTACTTTGACCTTCTCGGGTAGTGTAGTCCAGGCCTCTGCGTCTATACAATATACTGCTTGGGACCTGTTCTCTGTGTCACCGTTGGAATGTGGTGAGTTCCATTTTCGCTGCCTCTTTTTTACCTTTATCTCTTCACCAAACTAACCCTTCCCAGACATTGCAGTCAGTCTGCATCTGGAACTCCACCCGTTCCCGCAGCCTGGATCAGACACCCCCTGCTCTCTGCTCTATTCCTCCTAGAGGGAACTGAGTGCAGGTGCCCAGCAGTTACATCTCCATTCCACTCCTTGTGGGTACGTCTAGACGACAGGCTTTTGTCGACAGAAGTTTTGTCGACAGATACTGTCGACAAAGCTTCTGTCGACAAAGAGCGTCTAGACTACATCCAGTTCTGTCGACAAAGCAAGCCACTTTGTCGACAAAACCCTGTAGTCTAGACACAACCCTAGATGCAATAACACCTTCTGTCAACAGAACTCTGTCGACAAAAGGCGTTATGCCTCGTAAAATGAGGTTTACCAGCGTCGACAAAACTGCTGAGTTCTGTCGACGTTATGTCGACAGAACTCTGCGGTAGCGTAGACGCAGGCATAGTTTTGTTGACAAAAGTCCCCCTTTGTCGACAAAACTCTGTAGTCTAGACACAGACCTTTGCCATTGGTCTGGCCACGGCTGGGAATGAAAGGGTGTCTCTGTGGAGGTGCTATCCATGACACCAGCTCTCCTCCCGGAGGTGTGTTCTAGCTGGGATGTTCGCCCCCGGAACGTGTCTTGGCAAAGGTTTGGTTTCTTCCACTCTCAGATTTTGAGCTACCAGGTGAATGGGGAAATCCCTCCAGCATGGACTCTCCAGCCTGGGTTTTCATTGTAAGGGGGAGCAAGGAATAATAACAATTCTCACCACTCAGACTTCCTGGTGGTGCCTATTAAGGAGTCCCACGCGATGACGTGTACCAATTACTGACACAGGGAGCGCCGTTAAGTAGGGAATTGGCCCCTGTAGGGTCCATCCCTGGGAACAGCCTCCATTAGTATGGATGGGGTCTGATATTAACATTGTCTCTCCATCCAGGCATTTGTGCTGTGACCATCACCCTAGACCCTGGGCACCTGCAGGAAGTCAGGGGAACGTATGGTTTGAGTAGAGAACACGGCTCTGACGCAAGGTTGGCCATCTCCTCTTCAACACCATGTCAGATTCCAACACAACTGGATTCACCAACCCATCCACCTTCATCCTGCTGGGCATCCCTGGCCTGGAGGCGGCCTATGTCTGGCTCGCCATCCCCTTCTGCCTCATGTACGTCATAGTTCTCTTGGGCAACTTCGTCATCCTCTTCATTGTGAAGTTTGAACCAAGCCTCCACATGCCCATGTACTATTTCCTCTGCATGCTGGCCGTCACCGACCTGGTCCTGTCCACCTCCACCCTACCCAAAATGCTGAGCATCTTCTGGTTCAATTCCAGGGAGATCAAATTCAGTGCCTGCCTTGCCCAGCTGTATTTCGTTCATTCCTTCTCGGTGATGGAGTCTGGGATCTTCATGGCCATGGCTTATGATCGCTACGTGGCCATCTGCCATCCCCTGAGACATTCCACCATCCTGACATACGTGGTTGTGGCCAAGATCGGCCTGGCCGCAGCACTGCGTGGCAGCATTATCGCACTGCCCTATCCCTTCCTGGTGAGACGGTGGCCATATTGCAGAACCAACATCATCTCCCACACGCACTGTGAGCACATGTACGTGGTGAAACTGGCCTGCGGTGACATCAGCATCAGTAGTTCCTACGGTCTCTTTGTGCTATTCTGTGGCAAAGGTCTGGACATATTTTTTATTGCCATGTCCTATATCCAGATCCTCAGGGCCATCTTTAAGCTCCCCACAAAGGACGCCCGGCTCAAGATTTTTGGGACCTGCAGCTCCCACCTTTGTGCCATCTTAGCTTTTTATATCCCTGGTTTTTTCTCCTCCTTCACACAGAGATTTGGCCAGAACATGGCCATGCATTTCCATGTTCTCATTGGTAACGTGTATCTCTTGGTGCCCCCCATGCTCAACCCCATCATCTATGGGGTAAGGACCAAAGAGATCCGGGAAAAGCTGCTACCCTTCTTTACTCGTAAACAGACTTAAAGTTTTGTCCTGGTGCTCCATCTCTCAGAGGGTGCGTCCACGCTGCAGCCTTACCTCGGAATAAGCTGCACTTGTGCTTGTGAAGCTTATTTTGAGGTAATTTCAAAATAGCTTATTTGTCTACACAGCACCCAATTTCAAAATAAAGTGCTATTTCGACAAGTCCCTTAACCGTTGTGGAAGGAGGGGCACAGAGACGTCGGAATAGCGCACCCGTTATTTCAAAATATATTTTGAAATTACAGGCACGTTTAACGATGCAGACTAGCTATTTCGGGATACTTCCCGGGATTCCAAAATAGCACCGCTGTAAAGACGGAGCCAGAGAGCGCTCCCTTCCGAGCGGACTGTGAACGTTCTGGCAAGTATTGCATTGATCGGTGACTGCGCCGTGCAAGACACATTAAACCCTTTCCTGGCCTTAGTGTGATGTGTCCGTGTGCTGAACTAGGGAATGGGTCTGTGCACACGCATTAAGTCCTGGGGGTGCCCTCTCCCTAACTCGAATTTGAAATGGGCCTGTGGGTGCCTGCCCATCCTACCTTTTTCCTCAGGGTCTCCCCTTTGCTCCACATCTTCGCTCCAGTCCTCAGCCACTTCTGTGTGTTTTCTGCCCATTCCCTGCTCCTCTCCTCCCCATGTCACTCTTTGGATCATCTCTGCGCGGGGTCCCACCTGGAACGGAGGTGCCCTTGGGGCCTCGGTCTCCCCAGTCTGGGTCCCATCTTGCCCTGGGATGTAACAAGCTGCAAAGCCCTCCACGCTGCCTCACCCAACGTCCACAGACAGGGCCTGCGCCCAGGTGTGTTCATGGGGGCTCTGGCCAGCCACTGCACGAACCCACAATAGAGAGGCTACTGTCAATGCGCCCAGCTCCTCAGGCTAAGAGCCCAGCGCCGCACTGTCCTACCCTGGTGACAACCCCACTGCATTACCCAATGTGCCACTGCTACACAGGGAAGGTGGCATGCACCCGTTTGCGTGCATTCTTCAGCAAGCCAACACATTCTTCAACCTAGTTCTCGTTGTACCTGCAAAGTGGATTATGGGGTTCTCAGCTCAGCCCATGTTTCAGTAGCACCGACAGAGGCAAAACTGCACATGCACTGACGGCACAGCAGAATAGCCACTTCTCTGGATCTGCTGGCAATGCTCCCCCTAAGGCACCCCAATATGCCATTCGCCTGCTTGGCTACAAGGGCGCCCTGTTGACTCCTATCCAGCTTCTCATCCACTGCAATCCCCAGGTCCTTTTCTGCAGAACTGCTGCTAAGCAGTCTGGCCCTGTGTGAACTTGCCTCTTCCCTCCAAGCGTAGACAGACCCCTGGCTTTGACCAAATCGTGTCACTAAAGCGTGTCCCAGAACGGCGTCCAGGGCTAGAGCCACAAAGTCACTTGGTAAATACTGAGCTTAGGCATCGCTGCCTTTTCTACCCCGGCTCCTCGGCTGCCTGACTCTCCAGGAGCTTAAGGTTTCACTCGCGGCCTGATTGCTGACACCGCGCTGCAGCTAACGAGCTGGCCAGGGTCGTCACTCCATCCTGGTGGTGCTCAGCAGCAGGAACAGCAGACACTGTGGCTCCAGCAGCTTCCCTCCCACCGACAGCTCCAGAGGGAACGGGAACAGCAGCACCAGCTCCGGTGGGAGTTGGGTCCAACAGGCTGCCACCTCCTTCACGTCCGTGCCCTACCCCGACGGGCAGAGACAGGGGCAGTCTGACAGGGTCACCGGTGCCCCTGACCTTGACATCTGGGGTCTAGTGATGACCCAGAAGGGTTCCTCCTTACATTCAGTCAAGTCAACTCTACCACCCAGTGGCCACCCGAGCACTGAGGCACACTCAGTGTGAATAATTTCTACCTGGGGGCGGAGGGGGGAACACAACCTCTGAGCATATCTCTTCCACTGAGCTTTCTCTGTGGCGAACTTCTGCCCGGGGCAAGATGGATTTATTTGAGGGTTTCGTCCTCTTTTAGGGGTTGGCTTCCTGGGGGTGGAAAAAAGCCCTATAAAAGAGACCTCCCGGAACTGAGCTGGCTCAGGGTCTGTGTTGCTCTGCAGGCAGGGAAGGGGTGGGGGGCTAACCCCAACCCTATGTCTTGGCTGGGGGAGACCAGAGCTTCTGGCCCAACAGGGCAGGGAGACGGAGAGCCGCAGAAGGCAGGGAGGTGGTCTGTTCTCTATCCTTAGTGCTAAATTCATATTAGCTCATAACATTATTCTCCCTAGAGTAGGGGCGAGGAATCTCTTTTGGGACGGGGGCCACTGACCCACAGAAAAATCAGTCGGGGGCCACATACAAGTGAGAAGCCTGAACACCCCCCCCCCAAACCCTCTCTGATGTGGTCCTCAACTGAGAAGCAGAAAGACACTCCTCACAATCCCCTCCCACACCAGAGTCTCAGGGGGGCCGGGCTAGTTGATTTTCTGTGCTCCAGTTCCAGTTTTGTGTGCTCAGTAGGCATGGGCTCCACAATGCTAGGAGGGGAGCCCTGAGCCTCGGGGGCTGGATGTAGGCAGGCTGGGGGTCACATCCAATTGATGGGCCTGAGGTTCCTGACCCCTGCCCTAGAGTTTCAGGGTGGCTAAACACTGGAATAAATTGTCTAGGGTAACCAACTTTCTCATTGCTGGCAAGTAGACCCTGAGTCCCTGCGTCTGCCCGGCCTATTCCCCCAGGCCCTGCGCCCTGCACCATCCAGTCCATGGTATCCCGGCTCCTTTCTCCACCTCTTCCACCATCAGCCAGCCCTTGTCTCATCTGCTATATGCCCCTATTGACGTTGCTCCCTGGAGCTTTTCCTCTGTCCCTGCCTCAGCTGGCTCCTTCTGCTCCCGGGCTGGGCTGAGAGCTGCCGGAGCCTGAGAAGGGATTCTCTGTAGGTAGGAAGTGCCTCCAGTTGAGCAGGAGCAGATGTGAACCCAATGCCTCTGCTCTACCAGACTCAGCCAAATCCCCTTTTCTCCCAGACTTCCTAGTTCAACACCCAGTATCAGGCCAACCTACCTGGCACCCAGACAGAGAAGCCAAGGAACTGACTGTCCGGAAAACAATCTAGACTGGTGGAAACCCCCTTGACTGACTTCTCATGGTAGAAACCATCCGTATCCTTATGTCTTTGGGCTTGTCCTGTGCTCTCCACTGATGCACCTTGTGATAATGGGCAGGAGGCTGAGGTGGAGGCATCTTTAGTCATTAAGACTCAGCCCTAACGAGATAGCATCCGACAGAAGAAGGGAGAAACTGCAAGCTAGATCAGACCAGGTCTCTCCAGTTTTCTTCCCTGCAGCGGAGTGGACATGGAAGGAATGGAACTCCCACGCTTTGGAGGGAACAGAGACAGGAGAAGTTGGTCCAGCCTTGAGAAAAAACCAAAACAGAGACTTGATGAGCTAGAAGAGGTTGGGGCAGGAGATGGGCACCAGAGCGGCAGAAGGTGACTCTTTGGTTGCAGGGTGGTGGTGCAGTAGAGATGAAGGAGAAATCAGGATTTGCAGGAGGTGGCCCCTGGACACCGTAGAGGGCTTCAGGATGATATATTCCTAATAATTCATTCTTCCGGGAATGAGAAAATAATGCACATTGGAAACAATAATCCCAATTCTGTAGATCAACTGGAAGAGTCTAAATTGTAGCCAGCAATTTTAGTTCATTCTCCTTCTATTGTGTGAGATGACGATTAAGCAATATTTTATTTCAAATATATTCACTGTATGTTAATTAAGATTAAATTGTGGGGCTATAGAAGTGTAGGGTTAATTGGTATGTAGAGGAACCAAGTGCTAGACATAAGTGACATAAGCTGGAACGTAAGAACTGGTAGCTTGAGTGCTGCAAGACTTTAGCTTAGCTATTCTAGGCCCTGGAGACTAGAAATTGACAGGAGTGATTAACATTGTGTGAAATTATGCAGAAGAATTAATTATTATATCATAATAATTCTGTAAAAATGCATCTGTCTCAGAATCGCAGGATATAGGTTGGGTGTCAAGGCAATAGAAAATTGAGCTCTCTTACATTTCTAGGGGACACTGACCAACACGAGACAAGGGAGCTGACACTTATCGACATGCATAGAATGTAGGTACAGACAGAATCACAGTCTTAAAAGGGGGTGCCCAGAATAGGAAAATGGAGCTTCTTATGGGAGACTCAAGCAGGAGTCATCGCTCGACTGATGATAGAGCCATGAGAGATCGATCATCCCCTCATAATATTGCTAATGATGGGAGTGTAACTCTATTTGCCACTGTCCCAGAGGTGTGTATGGAATTCGTACACGCATGTGTAATCAGAGCTCTAATTGTAACTTTTATAAAACGTAGAGAATAGACTAGACCTTGTCCTGATGACTGGGGATGTGGGCAGCTCCTTTGGTCTGTTGGTGTTCCTAGAAGCTTTCAATCTGAAACATGCAGCAGCTGGACCCCCAGCCACTAGCAGTGAAGCTATGGGGATGTAGCACCACCTTGCAGTATGTACTGTGCAGAAAACAAAAGGCTACACAATCAATGTGTCCTCTTTTATTTTCCATCTATGTGTAGAATGAATTTTGTCATGTGCACCGATGTGGAGGTAAAGTGTGGATGCGCATCACCAATGGAAACAAAAAACACATTGATTGATTGATTGAAAGTTACTATAGGGATACTTACTCCAGCCAGGACAGGGTAGACATTTTGCAAGTTTCTATGCCAAGAATTATATCAAATATATAGAAGCCCAGTGTCTGTGAGTCTGTAATGCCAAAATGTTGGCTGTTCCCTCTGGGCAGCGCTGTTCCCCGAGTCACATTCTTCGCCTCCCACCTTGGCGCTCGTCTGACTTCTGCACCGCTCAGCCAGGCCGCCGCAGGGGAGCAAGCAGTGCAAGAGGCCGTTTGGGCCCCGTGCTCCCCATGCAGCACCCCCAAATGGCCACTTGTGCTGCTTGCTCCCCCGCGGCAGCCCGGCTGAGCAGCGAAGAAGTCCGCCGAGTGCCATGGCAGGAGGGAAAGG